TTTGCAATCGTTTCGTTCTGTATTTTCTCGAAGTGCGAAACAAAAACCGATATTAAGATTTTTGTTTTTATTTTGTACTATTTGTGTAGATGAGTGGAAACAAAAATGAAATGTACTCGGCTGGATGACGCAACATTGGAAATTAAACAGTTCAAAGCTCATTGGAAATTTTTGAAATCATTTCCTTGAACATTAACTCATTACAAATTAAGAAAAAACTAACTAACTTAAATGCATGCATTTTTATTCATTTGTTATGTGCATTATACAATGGAAAACAATATATAGAATGACAACTCAAAATAAAAGCAGTCATCATTTCAAACAGCAAACGGTTGAAAATGTTTCCCGGTGATTAGTTCGCAAACGATACAGCTCGGCAACTCACAGCCGAAGTACATTACAGCAATCGTATTGTTTGTGTATTTCTGTCATTAAAATGTTTGTGGTTTTGTGTTGCTTGGAGTACATAAGGATTGCTTTTTTTTTAAGTTTGTGACTTCGTGTGAGCACTACGTTATTCGTTTCGTTCGTTTGGCAAGCAAACTACATTTGCTTATCAGATTGAGTAAAGATTACATACCATAATCTATCTCAAACATACCACATGCAACAATTCAAATTATTTTACAGACATCCCACGATTCCTTCTAATTGGTTCACATTGTATCGATTTACGGACTCTCTAGGCATTCAAAATAGATTTTCTTCTGTCCAATACTTAACTGCCATAATCTTATAAAAAATGTTCACTTATCTGTGAAAAGGGTGTAAATACCGCATTTTTATACCCTCCACCTTGGAAAGGAGGGTATATTAACTTTACCATTTCGTTTGTAACATCCCTAAATATTCGTCTTAGACCCCATAAAGTATATATATTCATAATCAGCATAAAATTCTAAGTCGATTTAACGATGTCCGTCTGTCTGTCTGTCCGTCTGTCTGTCTGTCTGTTGAAATCACGATACAGCCCACATTATTTGACGTAGAGCTCCAAAATTTAGCAGAGCTATTTGCATTGTGTCTAGGATGGTTGGTATTGAAAATGAGATATATCGGTCCACGTTCTGGTATAGTCCCCATATAACGGTACCTCCCGATATTCGGTATTTTGATGATTTATGCCACGTTTTTTCATGGATTTGTCTTAAAATTGGTATTTGTAGGTCATAGCAGGTCCCTGAGAGTGTGCATGGGTCCAAAATTTGGTATAGCCCCCATATAACGGTACCTCCAGATATTCGGTAATTTGATGATTTTTGCAACATTTTTTCACGGATTTGTCTGAAAATCGGTATTTGTTGGTCATAATGGGTTCCAGCTCCGGTGGCGAAACATTGCATGTATGGGTCCATGATTTGGTATAGCCCTCATATAACGGTACCTCCCGATATTCGGTATTTTGATGGTTTTTGCCACATTTTTTCACTGATTTGCCTAAAAATTGGTATTTGTTGGTCATAATGGGTCCTAGTTCGTGTGGCGAAACATTGTAATTATAGGTCCACGTTTTGGTATAGCCCCCATATAACGGGACCTCCCGATATTCGGTAATTTGATGATTTTTGCCACATTTTTTTCTCGGATTTGTCTGAAATTTGGTATTTGTTGGTCATAATTGGTTCCAGCTTCGGTGGCGAAACATTGCATGCATGGGTCCATTATTTGATATAGCCCCCATATAAAGGTACCTCCCGATATTCGGTATTTTGATGGTTTTTGCCACATTTTTTCACTGATTTGTCTAAAAATTGGTATTTGTGGGCCATAATGGGTCCTAGTTCGTGTGGCGAAACATTGTAATTATAGGTCCACGTTTTGGTGTAGCCCCCATATTACGGTACCTCCCCATAATCGGCATTTTAATGGTTTTTGCCACATTTCTTCTAATGTTTATTTTACCCTAAGGTGGAGGGTATTAAAAGTTTGGCCCGGCCGAACTTAATGTTTTTTTTTTTTTTTTTTTTTTTTTTTGAAGAATATTTAGCAAGCGTTGTCGATTGTGTTATTTTCATGTTTTTATTAATTTTATTTTTAAACTATAAACTATCACAAATGAAAGGTCGTTCCTATCATACAACAAACTACTGAATTATTTTTCAGCTCTAACTCCTTCAGCTTTTACCTCATTATCAGAGATTCCCATATTTTCATAATAATAACTTAAAATCTGGTGCATTACAAAATTTATTTATTCTATTTGAAGAAAGCATTTAACGAATAAAGAATATCAAACTAGTGGTGAATGTGACTTCTGTCCGGATTACACCAACAAATCATGTGAAGCTCATATCAAAACCAAATCTTTGTACTTCCGCTCGGTAAACTCGCATCCATTAACAACCCAAAATACTAAATCGCAGCCCGTTCGGTGGAAAATTGGGATTGGAATCAGTAAAATATCAAATATCGAGTACATGGTGAGATGAAAAAACTGCAAACAACTTCAGACTTCTGTCATTTCTATGCCACTCGTCCGACAGCTGTTAAAATTATTCCAGTGGCAGCTCATTATATTGTTTACAAGCGTACAAAAGCATTTTGGTGAGAATTTTCCAGAAAAAAAGTTATTTGTGATGGAATCTAAGAGTGATAGTGTGATTCCTTTGTATTTGGCTGGAAAACCACAAGTGGCTATCGTTAGAGCACTCCAGCATTTAAATGTGAATAAATATTTTGTGTCTCGTGCCATCGCTCGTTACCGTGATACTGGTAGCGTAGCCCGACGTCAAGGAAGAGGACGGAAGAAAAGAGCAACATCAGCAGAAATGGTTCGAAAAGTAAAGAAGCGACTTGATCGAAACCTGCGTCGCAGTGGCCGAAAAATGGCTTGTGAGCTGAACATATCGCAATATTCCATTCGGCAAATATTGAAAAATGAGCTCGGGGTAAAGCCATTGAAATTCCAACAAGTGCAAGAACTTACACCGCAACAGTAAGAAAATAGACTCAAAAGAGCTAAAGAGTTGCTTGGCTTGGCCGAAAGTGGTGAACTGCCGAATTTCGTGGTCTAGCAGTTTGTAAACAAATAAAATGATCGCATTTACTTGCCAAAGATGTCAGCTGAAAACGTGCACCTTCGGTTGGCGCCGGCCATGGTGATGGTGTGGGTCGCCATAACAGCCGTTGGTCGCTCTCCGCTCGTATTAATCGACCGTGGCATCATAATAACTGCCGAATATTATCGCGAAAAATGCAAACACTTTGGCCGCCTAACTTGGACATTCCACACACCATCGCACTCAGCACGCGCCACTTAATAATGGTTACAAAATGAGGTTACTTCCAGCGCACTATGGCCACCAAAACCTCCGGATACCAATCCGTTGGACTATTGTATTTCGTTATTATATTTCGGAAAGCAAGGTTGGCACTAAAAAATACCAAAGTGTTGATCACTTCAAGCAAGCGCTTCGCTGGGAATGGATCTAAATACCGCAGAGCAACATTCGGGCAGCGTGTGACGGTTTCATTGGACGTTTGAAGGCCATAATTCGTGCCAAAGGTGATCGATTCAAACAAACCTAAACTTATTCTAAAATTTGATGCTATTTCCGACATTTTTGCTTTCATTCAATAAAAGTTAAATAAAATATGTAAAAATTTATGGCGTTTGACTTTTTGCAGTTTTTTTTTATCTTACCCTGTAGTATTGCAATATGGGGACCATATCAAATACATTTATATCTCCTGAGAACCTAAAATTTTATGGACATTTTAAAAGTTAAATTGGGGCTATGGGAACAAATATTATACAACTGTTGGCGGAAAAGATTTTACACTTCTAAATGAAGAGATGTAAACTGACGAATGTCTGTTGGTAGTGGTTACACCTAAACGGGGACCGATATATTTTTTTCCAAATCATCTTATGAATAAAGTTTTAAAGATCTATTCTATCGCAGACTGACAGCCATTGTCTAATCGATGCAAAATTTTACTCTGACCAACAATTTATTCTTTATGCGTCTCTTATTTATTCCTCGTGATTCAAAATAGTGTTTTCAAAGTTACGTTTGGTTGTTTGACAGAATTTAATACCAGGCCGCATCTTTTTTTATCTTATAAATGAATTTTTCTTGAATGATGTAATGCAAATGTAATGCAAGAATGGATTAAATATGCAGAAAACTGAATATTTGCCACTGCATACAAATACAATACAATGAACATATTTCTTATATTGATTTTGGAAAGACAAGAAGTGAATGTAATCCTATAATAATTCACCAAAGTCGTCATATCAAAAAGCTGGAAAGCCATGTGACAATTTCCTTCATCAGATGAAACGAAAAAAACATTACTGTCTGTAATAGAGAAAGGCAGTCATACAATGAACAAGTAAAAAACATTAAGTTCGACCAAATTTTAGACATATTCTGGGGAAAATGTGGCAAAAATCATCAAAATATCGAACATTGGGGGGGTACCGCCATATGGGGCTGTACAAAAAACGAAGACCTATACATACAATGTTTCGCCGCCGGAGCTAGAACCCACTATGAACAACAAATACCAATTTTTAGACAAATCCATGAAAAAATGTGGCAAAAATCATCAAAATACCGAATCTCTGGAGGTACCGTTATATGGGGATTATACCAAAACGTGGACCGATATATTTCATTTTAACTACCAACCATCCTAAACACAATACAAATTATTCTGCTAAATTTTGACGCTCTACGTCAAATAATGTGGCCTGTATCGTGATTTCAACAGAGAGGCAGACGGACGGACATCGTTAAATCGACATAGAATTTTATGTTGATTATGAATATATATACATTGTGGGGTCTACGACGAATATTTAGGGATATTACAAACGGAATGACAAAGTTAATATACCCTCCTTTCCAAAGTGGAGGGTATAAAAGTGTAATTCGTTATAAATGTGAAACAATGTAATTAATGTGTAGTAATTATATTACGTTTTTTTAAAGGACACCTTTTTGCAAACATATGTAGCTTATAGTAAACGTTTGTCTGTTTTGCAGAAAAAGCAGGGGTATTACGTTACGTACAGCCAGATTCAGATGAAAGCGCTACAAAATTAGTGAATGTTGACGACAAGATAAGTCGAACTCAGATAGATGTACATGCTCCTGCAAATGAAAATGAAAATTCACGATCGTCGCCAAATCATCTGTTCAAAGAGAATTGTATCGTACAACAACAAATACAAAAAACCGATCCATTTGACATTGGCAAAGAACCGCCGACTACTAATTTAAATAATCTGGAAAATTCCCAAACTCACAAATCACCTGTTATTGGAAAACAAAAGAAAAATCGAAAATCACCCGGCCCCGGTGAGTTTGATGTTGACGGATTCGGTACATGTAATAGAGCATCTCGAGAAGAGGTACAAAGCCCAGCTTACAGTGATATATCCGATGATTCAACACCTGTAAATGAACAATCGATATTAGAAAAATCTATTGCAGAAAAAAATTCTGATATTGTTAAAAAATCTCCTGAAATCATTTTATCTTCGGGATCTGGTTGTCAACCTAATGCTCCAACATCTGTTCCATCTTCACTTAGCGGATATGGTGTTTATCAATTTTATCAACAACAGCAATTTTCGGGACAACCTGCAATTGAACCACAATCAAATAAAAGTTGTCTTACAGGAAATGCACCTCAGCTATCACTTTCTGCTTCTTGTTCATCGCAACAACCACCTAATAATAATGACATGAAAAGAAAAGAACCTCCATTGGATTTGATAACGAAACCAGCTGCATCGAATTTGCAAGTTTCGAGCCCATCGCCACATGAATCTAACAAAGACCAAAATCAGGTCCAAGCCTCTAACGTACCCAACCAGATTGTAAGCAGTGTACCATTGGGTTCAAGTACAATAAATGCTGGTGCATCAAAGCCGGTATCACATTTTTATGCATTCAAGTAAGTGTTTTTTGCATTATATTTAAACCAGTAACGAGTAGTAAAGTTCACATTCACAATACTGAAAGTAGAATTGGAGAAAAATAACACAAATTATTAGTATTTTTCCCACTGTTAATTTTTAAGTGATTGGGTTTTTTAGCCGTAAAACGTAATCCTATGCTTATTAGTACTCTTAGAAGTGGCAGAATACTGAAAAGGCGGCAATTACAAAACGTCAGTACTTAGGACATTATGCACGTAGTACAAAGTCGTATTAACAGGTTGTATACATTACCTAAATTGTGGAAAGAACACCTGTGTTACAAAAATGTAATATAAAAGCAATTTAATGAAAATGATGTTTAAAATTAAACAGTAATTATAAACGTAAACAAACAAAAAAGTAAGCAGTGGTTATAGCCGTGCTGGGCCGACCCTGTTAAACTCTGTTTAAAGAGCGCTGCACAAATTTTACCCTTATTTACGCATTCCGCAGTGTTGTTATGTATTCGAAAAAAAAAATCACGAAAATCGAGGTCCATTTAACAGCTAAATAAAATGCAATGGTCATCCAAAATGCTAGATTTCTTCCCGGTCCTTAACTTTTTCCTCATGTAGAGCGACTGCAAAATCAGGAAAATGTTTTGTTTTCTTTGTTTTTTTGGTCCATTTGAACCTCTAAATTTACATTTTCATATGCTGCCCCATGCTAAATTTTGAGAGGATCGGACGATAATGGCGACCTGAACATAGTGTTGGGGGTGTAGAAAACATTACAAAATGTACAATTCAAAATTGTAAGTCAAATTGAAAAAATCGCATGTGATAAAAATGCACAAAAACAAAAAATATTCACTTTTTATTATCATGTATTTACATGATTTTCGTAGATTTTATCCCTTTCTGGTAAGATACCATTCCGAATTGATTAGAATTGTGAAAATCAGTCTAGCGGTTCTTGACTTATAAGCGGTCTAACTGACATCCCCTTTGATATATAAGATTGTATATATTTCGTTATATATGCAATATCTTGGATATGAGAATCAATTTAACGGTCAGAAGTGACATTTTCGTGTATTTGTGATTTCGCCAGGATTAAAAATATTGGAGTTTTTTAGAAGTTGTCGAATTTTTACATAAAAGTTATTGGTTTCTTTTACCCGTTAATAAGGTTCGATGACTATCCAAATTTGTACGCTTCTGCCCAGTCCTAAACTCCAACTTCATGCAAAATTCCGCGCCGATCGTATAAATGTGGCTTGTAGAGCAACAAAAAATCAGGACATTTTATCCGTTTTTTTGTCTATTTCAACCCCTAAATATTTTGCGATCATCTCAAAAACAATAGGGTTCTATTCTGATCCTAACCCCACATCCATTTTCAATTTCGTGAGGATCGGCCCATAATTGCGAGTGTGTAGTGTGATTACAAATTAACATGGACAGACGGACGGACATAAATAGCTAGATCGACTCAGCTCGGCGAGATAGGAAGATCCATACATACTTTCCTATGTGGGAAACCAATATTTCGAAGTGTTACAAAATTGTTGACCCAATCAAACTTAACACATAATATTGTAGGGTATAAAAACTAAGAGTTCGTTCTTTTTAATTACGTGAATCAAATCTTCAATTCACTTCTTTCATGGTCTGACCTTTTGCGTATGGGTTTGTGTTAGGTATACTTAAGGTACATTTACCCATAAAACATATTGAATGTTTAAATGCAAGGAAGCAATATAATAGTAAAAGTAGGGAATATCTTGCGAAAATAAATGAGTATTGAAGCAAACCAACTATTTTATTTTACTTTTATATTATCAACAATTTTAAAAGAAATCATCCATTCTTGTAGTGATCATCAAATGCTTAACATCAAGTTACCCACGCTTGATGGAATTGATAATATGCTGAAAATAATCACAAATAAAGAATAGTTCCAACGTTGATGTTTTATTGCATGAAGCCGCACAATCTACGCCAACGGCGTGTTTCAGTATTATTATTTTTTTTTAAGTTCTAAATTTAATGACTTAAAATTTTCCTTCGAGTTCGTGCCGATTGAGGTAAAATGTTGAAAAAAAAATTGAGACAAAACTAAAAGGGTAAGTGTTTAACTCAGGGGAGTGGAGGAATGACTTCGTATAGCGGCAAGAACAAAAACTCCCCAGAGTTGTTATGATGTGAGGTGTTGTGTAGGTGAGAGGTTTGGTGAGGTGCGATTGGTACGCGCGTGTGGTGTGTAAAAGAAAGAAAATATACAAGAAATAAAACACAGTTGAATTAGTATTATTATTAATTAACTCATGGCTTTATTGGTGGTCTATCTTTTCATCGACAAATTACCTTAAGTAATTGGGTTGGCGACAGAGGCCGTGTGTTTATGCTTTCGATTCTAAATGACAAGTGAACGCAGAGGTTCTAAGTGATCGCAGAGGATCCCTTGTATATTTCTAATACATATGCAAATACAGACAAGTGAACGCAGAGGTTCTGAGTGACCGCTGAGGGTCCCATGTCTGTATATTATTACAACTACAACTACTTCCAATGAGAGCAAGGTGAACCTACCGCCAACAACCAATACCCAGCGGCGATCCGCTCACTACGGTATCCGCCAAGGGAGTTGTAGAGGAGATGCCAGTGTGCCAATCAGCATCCGTGATTGACGAGTATTGGAAAGTTGTGGTGGAACGTATCGAACTTATACATTCCGGCCCCCTTGCTAGAACTACGAGTCTAGCAATCTATATAAAGTTATCATAAATTAGGAAGGAACGTAAATTCAGATTCCTAAGTGAGCTATAGTTGCAGATTTTCGAATTTTATCGTAGCGACTTGACGAATTACCGGTAGATTCGGTCTACAATTTCAATGTTTAGCGCAATTAATTCATGTTTTCAGCAAATTTCGGTTATGATACGATTCTTTTTTAAATTGGTCGATTTCAATTTTCGGAGAAGATTACGTTACAGTCGAGGGAGGTACTGAACCGGTGAGAATGTACCCGAAGATAGACTTTTGGGCTAGCAACGAATCCAAAACAATTTTTGGAGGTTCAGCTTCTAGAATTTTGGGATACAAGTCAGCACCAAGTAGCAAATCTATTGGGCTGTCATCGAAAGAATCCGCTAATTCAAGATTAGGAACTCGAGTCTTTAAATTACAAGTAGATGGTGACGAGAACAACTTTCCTTCGACCTTAGGCAACACAAACGCTTTTGTCTCCACAATTCTAGACGCGTATCTAGGGGAAGACAACTTAAGAGAACAGACTTCTCTCGGCGATGTAGATTTAGATTTGTTTGTTAAAGAACAAGTTAAAATACCAAGTGCATTTTTAAGTTGCTTACTTATAATAGATGCCTTTGAAGAAGGGTCTATTATAGCACGAGCAGTATAACTTTTCCCATTGTGAACAATATTTACTACTGCAGTTCCCAAAAGTTCCCATGATCTTCAAAGGTGTTGGGAGACTGGCTATTCGAATTATTTTTTGTAGAGAGTGGGGCCGTTTTAGAAGGCTTTGGGCCTCGACTTTTGACCTTGGTAAAAGCCGGAGGGGGGTTTGTACCTCGACTTTTGACTTTAGTAAAAGCCGGAGGTATTTTTTTAGAATCCGAAATGATATTTCGAGCAGACTTGCAGAAAAGCGAAGATTTTCGACTTTTAATATTGTTGGAAACCAGAGATGGTTTTGAGCATAATGCTGCAACAACTATACTAGATTGTGGCCGGTGAAGAAGGCTGTGATGCCTTTGCTTGCAAGATTTGCAACTATTTGTGCTATGACAATTTACTACATGGCCACGCGAAAGACAATTTATACAACACTTATTCTTTTTCACAATCAAGAATTTGCCCTCAAACGAAAGTTTTATAAACTTGGGGCAGAGTCGAAGAACATGACTTTGGTTAGGACAAATTGAGCAATAAGCGTTTGGCCGAGGAGGAGGAGCAATGCATTTTGACTCATGTAGCAATGACTTTTTAATGACTGAACTAGATGTACGAACATGCGTGGATGCCAACGATCTAGTGGAGGAGTGATGAGTTGAAACACTGTTTGACGATAACGATTTCTTTGCAGGCCTGGGAGGATGAACATTCTTTGGCCACAATGATTTAGTAGATGGAATAGGAGAGGGGGCTATTTTGGGCAAGTACTTTTCAATGGACTGATTTTCCTGTATGCTCTGAATAACCTGCAAAGTTTGTATTCTGTTTGTGAGGAAAGCATCTAAATCTGGCCAGGAAGTCAACAACGACTTATTTTTGATGCTTTGCTCCCACAAAGTCAAGGTGGTTAAAGGCAAGCGTTGCAAACAGATATGTTAAAGAATTGGATTCCACAGATCCGTGGCGACGTCATAGACGGCCATTGCAGCAAGACAACTATTTACTCCACGTTGAGTAGTTTTCAATCCCGAGCAAGTTTCAAACTTTAAATCTGGAATATCAAACAAACTTTTTATGTGACTATTCACAACGATGCGCTTATTATCATACGCATCCGACAAAGCTTTCCACGAAATAGAGATCTGAATTTACATACCTTGTTTTTAGTCTTTTGTATGTTGATGATATGATGACAGAGACTCCGATGATTTCTTCATGCAAAAGCGACAAAGTGATGGCTTCAATCCGGCTCGATGCGACCAATGTTTAACTCAGGGAGTGGGGGAAAGGCTTCGATAGCGGCAAGAGCAACAAAACTCCCCAGAGTTATTTTATGATGTGAGGTCTTGTGTAGGTGAGAGGTTTAGTGAGGTGCGGGTGATACGCATGTCTGTATATTATTACAACTACAACTACTTCCAATGAGAGCAAGGTGAACCTACCGCCAACAACCAATACCCAGCGGCGATCCGCTCACTGCGGTATCCGCCAAGGGAGTTGTATAGGAGATGCCAGTGGCCAATCAGCATCCGTGATTGACGAGTATTGGAAAGTTGTGGTGGAACTTATCGAACTTATACAGGTAAGCATTGCCCTTAGTGCAGCACCTACAA